TCTGGACTCGTTCGAGGGACACAAAAAACCGTAAGAAATTGGAAGGCTATAGTGGGGAGAGAAAAAAAATAAATTGGAGCCTGTGACACGCGTCGTTGAAACGAAGACCTGATCGTCGGGGACCCTGATATACAGGGTGTTAAATTAAACAGGGTGTTGCGTGGATATACAGGGGGATAACATTAGAAAAAAACCGAAGAGGAGGCAGTTGTAGTATACTTTAGTAATAATATGATAGCGTATCTAAAGTTTTTGAATTTTAAAAAATTTTTTTCTAGAAACAAAGGTGCCCGTAATTTTTTAAATGGAATGCTACATATTTTTTACAACATACAACATACTAGTAAACACAATATTGAATGTACTAGTATGGTTTGCAGGCAGTTTATGGCAATTTTATTCACAGTACTACGGACAGATTTGGAAGTTTAAATATTTCAAAATCAAATTCAGCTGCAAGCATTTAGTGGGATATCGTGATCAAAAATATGTATATAGCAAAGGTGCTGAAAAATTGTTTAAAACACTTTCAGTCAGGTCCTACCTCCACAGTCACCAGATCTCAAAATAATAGAACATCTATGAGAAATGTTAGATTTCGAAGTGACAGAAATAAATATGAATGAGTCCCATACTTTAAAAGTACACACTCACTTTTGACTCTCACTGTATATGTATACTCGAAAATCGATGACACCGGTTTTCACGACGACAATTCGAGATACCAGCACGCCGGAACGACGCGCGTGATCCGACGAAATTCCTCGTAAACATTTGATGACGAGTCTTCGAACGCCTGGACTCCGCCGCGCGTTTGTAAACCTCGCGTTCCTCGAGCATGAGGGAACCACAAGAGGCTATAATACGATTCAGAGTTTCGGTATGTGCGCGCAGACCACGATGAAGAAGAAGCCTTCGAGGCCATCCTCGCTTTGCAAAGCCGTCTCGAAATTCACGTCTCAGCCGTCGTTCTACGTGGCGCCTCTTCCTAAGACTCGAAATCACTTAACGATTTAATGAATTCGTTGCCCGTTTGAAGGTTTCCTCGAGCCCGCCGGAGGGTACGGTATCATCGTTCTACGCCCCGCGGACTGGCATTAGGATGGCTGGATTCGTGAAACGTTTAAAAATTCCGAACCGCTAAAGGTGCGCAAGCTGTTCTTTTCAAGGTTCCCTCGAGGACAGCCCGAACGATTTTGAACCCGAACTCTATTATATATCCTCGTTTCAACGGCTGAGTCATTCGGGGGATTTTGACACGAAGAGCATAAACGACCTTGAAGGTGACCTAGCAAAAGTCTACATGAAAAATTCGTTAAAGTTATCATTTTAAGCTTTGTAATTTACGAGAAAAACAGGGTCTTTCCATGAGGATAAGCGTCCTCAAGATTGCTTCGGAAGGTGGTCCAAGGACTCGACGCGTTCAAGGACCCTGGGCGAGGTCGAACGGCTCGCTCGACGATAAAAAGAAGAAAAAGAAAAGAAGAAACGAGAGAATACCGTCCGCGGTGCCCCCGATGTTCAGGATATTCGGCTACCGTGCTCCATCACCTCTGCGATCGACGACGTAATCTGATCAAGAGAGAAAGAGCAGGAGCACTTCCTCGTGTCTTGGGAGGAGGAAGGAGCGACTCGAGGAGATTCAGGGCGTCGAGGTGCACCGCGATTTAACTAGATGCGCGCACCACGAGATCCCTATCTCACCTGCGCAGTTGCAAAAGAGGGTGCAAACTGGGTTAAACATTTATTCGTCTGTGTCAAAACACGACGGTCGCAAGTTTAAAAAAAAAAAAATCATAACAGAAGAGGAACTGAATGTGCTAGTTTTGGAATTAATTCATACCTAACTCTCTAGTCAATAAGGCATCATATTACTAATTGGTATTAAATACCCACTAATACATTCTAATAACGTGTAAAAATTATATCTATGAATTTCAACGACACTTCGATCATTCTTCATTATATTATAAATATTATATTATAATATTTGACGGAGTAGCTTGAATCTATGTATGTTTTATCCCGTATTAGAATGAAGTAGATATTTGCAACTTGAAAAACGAGTTACTTTTTTCGCGAAAATCGCCACTTTTTTGCAAGACTCCACCATTCTGTTATTTTTCAATATTTTTTATTCATTCTAGTATGGGCGATAGCCACGTTCGTACAGATTAACAATTCTTCTCAATTTTTAATTTGAGATAACGTAGACAGCTGATATAATGGCAGCCATGAAGGCATCTTTTTTTTAGACAAATTACAATAACTTTTAATCTGTACTACATTTTCAAATGAAAAAAATTAAGCGTATTCTATTAGTGTGTACGAATTCATAGAAATGAGTTTAACATCGATATACCTCACAGTTTCTTCTAAAACAATTCCTGAATTAGGCCTAATTTTTTACTCGTCACAGTAGAGAGACCCCTTAAATGGCGAACTACGCAGCGGAATTACGCAAATCATTTCGGCTGTTATACAAAGGAGCAGCGCGATTTCGCGTGTTTCGAAGTTTTGCGCGACTAGTCCCGAAGGAGAGAGCACAATTTACTCGAATTACGAACACGTTGTGTTCGCCGCGACTCTACCGTACGTGGGGCTGTATCGCGGGACGGTGAAAGCTGCTGATTTTACGACGGCAAACTCGCAGCGTAATTCGACACGGAGCGGGCTTTTTGATTACGTGGAAGCCGCGAAAGACACTGGCAAATTTTTTCCCACCTCTGGAACGCACGATCCATTGTCATCTCGTGTTCCTTGCCTCGCGATCCGTTCGAATCTCGAGGGAGGAACCGTTAGAAATCGATCGTGGGCAACACGTATTCCGATCAGTGTCCATCGAAACTCGAAAAAGAAAAAAAATATACCTTGGAGGTTGTTTACCTCCGATCAGTTCCGTAAACGGACGATTCAAAACAACACACGGATAGGGCGATAAGAGAGAAACAAAATTAGTCCGTAAATGGTCACAACTGTGTGAAAAATTCGTGCAATTCTTAAATTTCTTGTGATAGAAAGATTCGATAAAAAAAAAATGTCTCTTTTGTGAAGTTGGTACATTTGTCTTTGATATCTCTGCCAATTTCCTGTGATACTGGGCTGCATAGGTTTGATTTTATAGTTAATTGGATAACTTGCAATTTAGTGTGCTGAATAATTTTTTAAATTAAAAGCACATATTAAAGTCCTCTGGCAGTTTTATTTGTTAAATTTTATTCTTTGCTATTCTAGTTCTTATTTAACGCTAGAACTACCAAACCAGTGAAAATGATGGTTAATACACTCTTACAACGACGATTAAAATGTTCCGACAGTACTCTCAGACCTTTTGCACTTTCTATTACGATCTGAGAATGAAAAAAATATTCAATTTGTAAATTTTAAAATTTTCGAAACTGTTCCATGTTTATCCGGCGATCGAAGCAAATTTGCGTTTATCGTTGGTAGTCCCAGTGTTAAAAACTACTCTCCGCTTTTGGAAAAGACATACTACTACGTCATCCGGCATCGAAGTGTTAAGAAACACTGAGTAAACATTTCCGAAGAATCCGAAAAGTGGTAAACATTTTCCGTCCGCTAGCGTATATGTGTACCGATGGTAACGGCCGCAACGATTTCGACGTGGCCGGCGAATAGAATCCCCATTAATAAGACTCGTTCGCTCGGCTCTCGTGCTACATAACCACACGCGTGGATTACGCGAAACTCCGCGAGTACAGGAGTACAAGAAGCAGAACAAAAAAGAAACGAAGAAAGGAAAGAAAAAAAACAGTCAGCCACCGGACTAAAAACTGGTATTACGCCGCGATGCAATTATGTAATCAGGTTGCGGGCACGTACACACCGTGACGTTTAAATCGCGTTTAATTAAAATCTATCGGCAGCTGCGTAGAGAGACCGACCTGTCTCCTGATCCCCACGCATCGCCCGCGGTTGCGATTCCCTAGCTAATTAATTCCAATAGTTTCGTATTCCCAGTTTTTTTTTTTGCCCATCTTACGTGATGGCAACGGTCAATTTCGGGGGATTCGATACGAAAAAAAAAAAGACAAAAGGGAAGAGAGAAAAAAAAACAGTTAAACCTGTTTTGAGTATATGTACCACGACGATGATATAGGCGAGCGGTTTAGAAAGCACGCCCACCACCATCACAAACCGTCGTCGTCCCCTGTCGCGTGTTTACTACCATTCTCGAGGTTGCGGAGTGGTTCTAGCCTCAAATTCCAACAAGTTACTCTACCAGAACCACCGATCCGTACGCCCGTAATCGGCGCAAAGGGACGCACAGATACACACGCCTCGTGTACAGGCGATCGTTAATTGAAAAACGAGGTGTACAGTATACACCTCGTATGGAATTGTCAAACCGGGACCCGAGAAACCGGGACGAAACGGAATTCGCGATTTCAGTGGCCTCTGCGTGAAGAATTCCACGATACAATACCAGGTGGTTGCTTCGTCGCGTATATTGCTTCGAGATATCTGGACTTCAGGGGATTGATAACTCGAAGACGTTCGAGTACGAAAGATCGGACGTTTCCCCCGAATCACTTGTATTACATTGATTATTGTACAGTCCTATTATTAACACTTGGAGTACGGTGACCGGGTCCGTTTGGAATTTTGAAAAACCGTATCTAACTCGTCGATTTGCAAATGTAATTTAAGCTAGGAGTTGTTCATATTCATACATATAAAATGAAACAGGTGTTTTTTAACGATCGTGTTCGAACTATGTTCAAAAAGAAGGAAGCACAAGGTTTTAAACGGACCCAGAACGTTAAAAACGTCAGTGCTCCGAAGATTAAATAGTCTTTCTGTCCTAACAATATTAACCCTTTATAACAATATTAATAATTTGATTATTCAAAACTTCAAGTACCTCGTGTAATATAAAATATACCTCGAAAGGGGTGTTGGTAAACTTCCGAGTATACCAATACACGATAAAGAGCAATGTCCCCTGTTCGCAGAAATCGAAGGAAAATCCCACTCACCTCTTTCATACCGTCGAGCCTGCCGAGACTCTTGGTGCCCCGAAGGGGCGGAAACGCGGCGTCGTGCCATCCGCCGTTGCACATCGTCATTTGCTCTGACTGCACGTTCAGAGCACGGGCTCGGCTCTTGCTCTTGCGTTTGTCCAGCAAATGCTTCGCCCTAGACTTCCGAACCGGGGCGGCTGGGTCGTCTTCGGGGTCGCTCTGCACCTCCCATCGGGACGGTGACTTGAAACGTCGCCTGGGGCTGGTCGGCGAGGTCACTGGCGAGGTGAGCCTCTGTACGAGGGTCCCGAACATGGTCATCATTCGACCTGGATTTGCACACCACTAGTCGACGACGGGCACAGCCCAATTCGATGTTCTAATTCGACTCGGACGTCATCTTTCGCGTGTCAACCACGGCTCTTCTTGTTCCTCTCATGCCACCTTTCCACACTGTCACTCTCGATGCTTCACACGGAAATCCACAGGTGGTTCCGCTGCATATACCATATGCACACAATCAATAGCTTTTTTTAACCTTGTAAAATTCACCGTGTGTGTTTCTCAGAGGCTAGCTAGACGGTTCCAAAGACCATGCGTGGCTTCACTGAACCGGCGAGCAACGTATATACACGCGTTATCGTAGGTAGGCGACGTTAAAAATCGGTCACTGAATATCACACCACATGCGATAAGGGTTTCTCACAGTCTTCAACCTGGATGGACACTCTCCCGAGCCACGCGACGAGGATTGCTTCTGCACGCTCGCGCGCTGTGTATGTATGTACACACGTACTACGTATAACCTGACGGCGAACACGGAGATACCGTTCCACAGAGGCCTAACCGGGCACGTTTCGCCGATCGAGTGGAGAAAAGCAGCAGCAGGCCTACGGGATGCGACGTGTCAGAGGGACCCCGTCCACCTCCCTCCCTCCCCCCGTCCCTGGATCGACTCGAAACCAGGCGGCGGCACACAGGTATTTGCCTTCGGGCGTGCACCGCTCTCTCGTGCGCGGAACACACTAGCTGCTTACCAAGAGAATTTAATCGAGTAGACCACCGCCGATTGCTTGTCCTACGCGCCACGTTTTCTCGCGATTCTCTTGATGTCGTTTTGTTCCGGCCCGATTTCGAGACTGAACGACGGGAAACCCGGCTTGTAAACCCTCGATCGGAGCACGCAATAACCGAGAAGACGATTTCGAAAACGCATCAGCTGCTGATCACGACCTTCTAGAGACCCGACGACGACGACAACAATAACACACTCTGTGTACGGGGACACAGGATCGCGGTGAACGAGGACAGAGAACGCGCGACGTCGAGGCGGCGACACACGCAGCACGACACGAGAGGACCGATCGCTGGCTACGTGCGGAATCGAACTGGTCGCGCGGAGACTGCGTCCGCCGACCGGTTGGCCTCGCCACCACGGAAATGCCCGAGTATGGGCGAGCCGGCACGAAGCGGATCGGAGTTTGACGATCTCCGACGGACGGACGCGAGGACCGTGTTACCGGTTACCATGGCGATCAGGGAAGGGGGGAGGGGGACTCATCATTCCCCCTTTGGGCCTTACACACCGTTCGTTCAACGCTGGGGGGAAACCAGGAGGGGGGAGGTTACTCGGTCTCTTGATACACTTTCCGCGTTCGATTCTTTCCTTTTTTTTTTTCTTCAATCGAAACATTTCTGCGGAATCGTAGGAACGGTTGTGACCGTCGGGAACGATCCCCGACACGGTAAACGGGACGTGTCTCGTAGTAGGTGTACACAACTCGTTTATAAATTTACTTGCACTCTTCAGGTGTGACTTTTTTTTTAACTATGTGCTGAGTGGTAATATGTTCGCACTAAATGTAGAAATAAATAGGGACATAGATATAAAAGTATAACGAGACGTTCTTCGTTATAATTAAATGTTATTTAATTTTATTTAAAGTAAATTTCAATTTTTGAAGATTTATATAGGTACTTTATTAGTATGTTTTATTGCAAAAATTGTTTAGCTCCCCCACTTTTCAACCAAGGGGCCCCTCGAAGGTCTGATAGTCCCGGGGCCCCGATAATCTTAATCCAAGCCTGCGCACGGCAACGCGTGTCCCGCGCGTCGGCCGGTAACGGTCTCGGCCCGAGCCGATAAAAGCAATTAATAATGCCTGACCCCGGAATGAATTCCTGTTTCTAGGCGTCAACCGGCTAATTAATGGCACGATGACTGGTTCCACGGTTGCTTCTCCCCGGTGATATTCTCGCATGTCGGACACGATAAATGGGGAGTAGTCGTGCGGAACACCGAGCGGCCAGTGGAAGGTGCCTCGGTTGTCGCTGGAACGCCGCGAGTTCCACGAACGAACCTCGACCGAAGAGACGACCAGAACTGCCCAGAAGATAGATAGATAGAGATAGGGACACTCTGAGCAAGTTTAATCGCGGGGTAAAGGGAAGAAACGGGGCGTTTGATCACGCCTCTAACTTCACGCGTCGAACTGACCCAACGACGATTTTCAGGCAACGAAAACTTCTGCAGACTCCTCTCGATTATCGTCTGGCTTGTTCTACACGATTATTGTCCAGTTGTTACCCCCACCACTAGAGGGGGGCGTGAAACCTGTCAAATATTTTATTACCGAGGGAGAATTTACGAGGGTCTGAAGCATTTCGCCCTATTCGATTATTGTCCCGGCGTGGACCCGAGTTGAGGACAATAATCGAGACGAGTCTGTATATCGTTCCACGCGTCGTTGGAAAAAGGCAGATATCTATGACGGGATGTGTTACTGGACAGTAGGCCTAACAGCGTTTTTTATTACAGGAACGGTATCATTAGATAGCGGGGAACTCGTCGAAACTTCAATTATTCCCGCGGCTATATACGGCCGGACGAGGGGTGCTTGATTAATCATGCCGGTAGCTCGCTCGGCAATTATTACCGCGGACACGTAATTAGCGCGAATCGTCCGATACCCGGGCCATTCTTCCATTCCCATTCCCTCTCTCTACCTATCCACGTTTCCCTTTCCCATTGAGACAGAGGGCCCCGTGAGAATCGGAATTACCAGCGTGCTTGATCGCGATTCGTCCCTGTATAACGAGCGCGTGATCCACACGATATACGACATGGATGTGGAGGGAGCACGCACGAGGGTTAGAACGGTCTTCGAACGAAGGCTTCTTACCCTCGTGTCGCCATCTTTCATCTTCATCGTCCCTGGTATCGCGAGGAGCCTGTTTGTCCAGCAACGCGATCACAGATACCAGATGCAACGAGATAGAAATTCATAATTGTACGCTGCTGCTGTCTCGTACAGCCGGGGATGTGGTGTCGTGACACGAATCGCTTGGACCGTAATCTCCGTGGTGAAGCGTTCTCACCGGGCGTATAGAGGCTTGACGAGTGGTTCGCGTGAAACGGAGGGATTCACCGCGAAAATGGATCTTGGACGACGAGAACATTTCGTCTGATTCTGTTCAACCCTTTCGATGGCTTTTCACGTACTCTAGAGCAGGCGTCGGCAACCTGTGACCCACGGGGTCAATGTTAATCTATTCTTTATATTTTTTCAAAGTGTTTGTTTCATGTTTATGTTTCGTAATTTATTTTTTTATATTATACTTTATTTGCGGAATTCAAGTGGGTCACTTGAAATTATCAAATGGGTCATTTGGTGATCCGCGGGTCGTAGGTTGCCGACGCCTGCTCTAGACCACTTTTAAAGTTTCGTTTAGTGCAGGATATTGTTACCTGTGGGCGTTCAAAGAGTTCTTATGAATGAATCGGTATTTGTCGAACAATTATTTAATCTCATTATCTGTTTAAATCTCAGAACGACATCCTTAGATACGGTTGCTTTTCACTGTGTATTATTCGAATAAAATTCTGCCCAACTCCGCGTAGAACACCCTATACAAATCGTTTCCAATCAGTCCCAGCACCTTACTTTTAATTTTCACTCTGCCTTCAATTATCACGCCTGGTTCCATACTTTTCGCCGGTAGAATATGCAGCTCTCTCTTTCTCACACCGTGTGTCGACAGTTTAAATTTCGCGTGTCCGCGCGACAGGTGGCAAAGCAGCGAGAAATAAATTCCGTCTGCTATCGCGGAATCGCCGGCGGTCGCGCCGCCGGTCTGTATTTTTCTGGCGCTTCCGCCGATTTACGGCTGCGATTGCGGGGCAGAACGGCGCGAGTAACTCCGTCTACCGGTAAACTCGTTCAGCTTCCATTCCACGGTCCCCCCGTGTGTGTTTATAGAACATTCTTTTCCCCCCAGACCTGCTCTAGATACACTCCCGGAGAACTCTATAATCTCGAAAGAGAAAAAAAAAAGAAATAAATCCAACTCGCGAGTGTATTCGAAGGAATCCCAGAACCGCGAGCGCGATCGTCGAGCAGTAAATTCGAGAGTTTATCAAAGAAGGATCACGCAGGACCGACGTTTCGCCGCGGGGACCATTTTTTTCGGCCCTTTTGAGACGCGCTCTCGGAACGCGGAAAGTCACAAGGCGAAACGATCTTTCTCCGCCAGGCATAACCCACGTGGACATCATCGAGCCTGCATACACGCTTGCTGCTTCTTATGATCGCAACTTTCCCCGCGATATTTACATAAACGTCCTTGGTCACGGTTCGAACATATCGGTCCATAGACGGGCCAGATGAAGCTGAGAGTACGCACGGGCCAGGAGGAAGAAACCGATCACAGTGTAACGATCCCCGTTGAAAATAAAAAAAAAAATGTTCTTTAGGGAACTTTTTTCTATGAAAAATTGTTGTCCACACTTTTGTCCGGTAAAAAACAATTAAATGTTGAAAGGGCATGATTATGATTTTACATACTTCTGCATTTCACTGTGTATTATTCGAATAAAATTTAGTACCGCTGCCCTCGAGAAGATTATCGGGAGGTTGAGCGTAGACGGAAGCGTCGAGGCGTGTGTGCCGCCGGAAGTGGCGATTTTCCTCTGACATTGAGGAACGTGAACCAACACACGAATGGGCGCGTTATCGTCGTGCACGAACGACGCGTTCGGGCCATTTGGTTGATAACGCGGGAAAGATTTCAGGGTTACGTACGCGGAATTGGGCGAGGTCGTGGGGGCGTTTATAAACGCGAGCGGAAGAGTGAGGTCGAGGTTGGGCGATCGTCGAGGAAACGGTGGCAAGGTTGTTCCAATTTTTTGTTTCAGTCTGCTTTTATCAATGATTAGTACCAAAGTTTATTTTTATTCGACGAATTGGTCCAGGTTACACGAGAGAGAGAGATCACACGTTTTTTTATTTGAGTGAAGAAGAAACGATAATTACCATTCGTCGACGACAAGGGGTACCCAAGTATGCCAATAATTCTGTCCGTTTACCTGTACTGTATCGCAACGGGGGAAGAAAGCAGCGAAAGGGACTGCCGCGGGGGGAGCATAGAAACGGTTAGAAACCGAGATAAGATAGAAGCGTTGTCGGTAGGCTAGTCCCGTGGACAGAGAAAAGAAAAAGTCTCGCGGACACACAAGAAACGTAGATATTCGAAATAGTCGACAGACAGAGAACGGTGATTTACGGCGTTTCACCCGGTCGAACGTGTGCTGCGCGGGCCCCGGTTCGAGGCCTCAAGTCCCTCTTGCCCCCTCTCGCCCTTTGTACATAGAACACAAGGTATGCCGATCGAGAGTTAAGGCCGACCGAACGAGATCGTTTTCTTCGTGAAAGTCGCGCGAATTGCACACGCCCATGGCGGAGGTCTCGCCAGGAAATAACCCATTCCGCCCGATCGGAGAACGATAACGATCCATGCGCCGGAGCGGTCTAATAACTCGCGATCTACCGGGGTTCTCTCTACGTGGCCCCATCGTGCACGGGCACGCTTGCGTAAACGGGTTAATGGAGAGGTCAATGATGGATAGAGAGAGAGGGGGGTATTAATAAATGGCTCGACAATGGGCGTGGAATTCGCCGGGTTCGGTGTAGCTTAATCTTCCAATTCGAGGAACGAGGCGGGATTGCCTCTCGTTTAGCTGTACACGAGAAAATGCGCGAGGCATTCCTAGGTGATTGCCGTTTCGTTTCCATGTTGGCAGCTGGAACCGACGATTCTTCTCGAAAATTTTCATCGAGGTTACGCCCGATTCGCGTTGGTTTGTGGCGAAATCTTCCCCCCGATCTCGTTACTTCGCGACGATCTCAACGATTTAATGATCGATGGCCTTTTAATGGAGTTTCATGTGATTATAAATAAGGAGCCTATTATGTTACT